CACACACACACACACACACACACACAAAACACACGCACACACACACACACACACAGAGCAAGTTTTGATACATTGGTGTAATTGGCCATCTCTGTATTATAGACTTCGATTTGCATCAGCATGTGCTATTGTTTACAGCACACAGCTAGCGGTTGGCCCTGAATACGAGTTGCTTTTGATTTAAATGCATAAATTCGCACCTTTGCGTATACGGGCTGTATGACTATACCGAAATGTCAGCCCATCGAAAATCAATAGCGAATGCGCAAACGTCAATGATCGAGTCACATCTTGTGTTAATCTCTTGCTGAATTAGCAATCTATTCCTATATACGAATCTCCGGTCTTTGCCCGATACAGATTCGAAAACACGGGTTGAATGACTATTGATTTTGATTTTTTTCCCCAGGCATGCAGATCATGTGGCTTAATAGAAATGCCTTGGAATGGCGAGTCTAGTGTGTGCGACCAATGCTTAGCACGCAACCAGGGGAGCGTTACGGCACACCGGGTCCAGCAGGGGTTTTCACATATATCACCACTAAGTATGTTCGTTTATGTACTAGTTTCTAGTGCCGCTATATGGATACTAGGAGTTTTAATAGCACAACCTTTTTGGGGTTGTATGTACGCAGTGCACTTCACAGATTAAAGTTAATACAACATTTAAAACTTATCCTAGAGGTCACCATTGTAGTTCTGTAGCTTGACTGTCATTCGAAATGCCTTGAGCGCGAATTTCACTATAACTATCAGCAGATCAATCGAATTTTTCCATCGTGCTCCATATCCATCACATGTCAGTACATCCCCTTACATTATCGTAGCTCTTGTTGAATCAGTAAAAATGTAAAGTTAGTAGTCAGTGCAATCAACCACCCCGCGTCGCACGGATGATGCGACTTGCAGACATCATAAAGTCGCTGCTATAAGTTTTTCTTCATATTCGACACGCGAAGGTAGTGCCAGCTTGGCGTACATTGTCTCTGATCGTTGTTACATTTTACCACGCATTTTTTGATGGTTTTGAGAACAATGGCGATATCGATATTGAGCTTGCCTTTAAAATTGGGTTTACGTCTGATGCTCGTCTGTCAAACCTTTTGGCAATATTACTTCTGAAATGAAGTCTACGCTTATGCACGCTACAATTTTTTTCTTTGGGCTTATAAATCTAGTTCACCGTACATCTGCAGGTAGTCGAGTGACACAAACGCCGATTGAATTGATGGAGGACAAAATGTACATAGGGGATGTGCTGTCAAACAGAGATCTACAGCAACTGCACTCTCATAATGTGACTGTCGTGATATATTTCCAGACTGAGCCGTACAATACGCCGCTTTATACACAAGTGCAGCAGATGGTGACCGCATGCGGGGTATGTCACTTGATTAGTGTGCAAACACAAAAACATCTACTTCGTTGGATGTGTTAATGATTGGAATATACCGGGACTCTTCAGGAGTCATCACATGCTTTTGAAAGTGCCGCCTGTTCTGCTAAAACATGGGCGCACATTATTTCTTGCCCGCTTGACGATTGCATTTTATTGAAGACTCCACGTTCATGCCGCAATCTGTCGCCAGACTAAAAGCAGCTTCATTCTAGATGTCGACCAATTTGTTCTAGATCACGCATCATATACATATTGTGAAGCGCACTTACCCGCTCATTGCATTTGTTTTTTAATTGTTTGCTATCTTGCAGATATCACTTTGCATTTTAATTGAGGATTTATTGAATTCTAATAATTCTCCTTGCTGTAATAGAGCGGGAGTGGAAATAGTTCAGATATCGGCTGCTGCCTTCCAATCATCACCACTTCTAAAGCGCGCACCATACATTCGAATTGACGCATTCAGATGGAGTACAATCCCGTTCCGAGCACCGCCGGCGTTTTCCAAATGTATGAATACATAAGTGAGAAAATCACGAGAGGTCACAAGGTGGCAGTTTATGGTGTGGGCCAAAACGACGATCACGGAGGTGAGTCAAAGCGACCGGGCCATGTCGGCATGTTATATTTAAGTAATTTGGAATATGTTGGCCAGTGTGAGTTTCCATTTGTATATGCGGCGTGCTGCTTGAAATTTATACCATTTCTTTTTACACAAACGCAACGGGCCAAGAATTTACACTTCTATCAATTGAATACAAAGGACACCTCATGCCATAATCTTGTACATACTTTTAATTAAGTTAAAAGTTATTTTGTATATACTTTCAATTATGTTAAAAGTAGACATACTTGGACGATATCGTGGACTAAATTGGCTACCTACTCACAGTTCGCACGTTCTCCTTTCCTGATATATTTAGCTGTGGTCCTCTTAGCGTTCCTGATGGAATTCGCAGGCCTTACATTTCATCTTGCAAGGGAACTACTCAGAGAGAAAGGCATTCTGCATCCCGATGCTATGAATGGAGATGCTACTGAAAGAGTAGACGATTTAGCTGATGCATTTGCAATGCTGTAAGTATGTATGCCAGAAAATTTGCAGACGAAATGTTGCATTCCAGCGACTGTATAATGATGAATCAATCATGGTTCCAGACTTCCAGAATCCAGACGAGTGATTGCTGGTGCCAGACTGAATAAAGTGATTTCTGATTCCAGCCTTCTCCAGGCTTCCAGCGCATATCACCAGTGCCAATCTTCAATTTTTTTTCATGACCTACTATCTCTCTCTCCATCTCTCTCCAGTCTCTCTCTCTCTTGTAGTATTTAGTAGTAGAGAGAATGAAAAGTAAAAATATGGCGAACGGACGAATCCGTATGTAGGAGAAAGTTTAATATAAATATATTTATACATGACCAAAGAAAAGGTGACAGCTTTCACGGTCATCGTAATTTCGGATACCTACATACTATTTTCTCGTGTGGCTCAAAACGTCTTTTAGTAACCAATCGAATATTGGAAGTGCCTTTTCCATTTTGTATCAACCACTAAAATTGGCACAGTTGTTAAACATATCGAAATTCCAAAAAAAGGATGACGCGAATATATGGGGATCGCAACACAGCTGCTGTCATGGAAAACGTTCCCGTATGCCAATAATTTCAGAAAACGTATAAAGTTATGAAAAGAAGACGGAAAAAGAATATTCACTTTCACTTTTTCTTCCCTACACTATTTGTCTGAGATCGGATCCATGGTCAAATCGCATAACTCGATTTATAAGTATTTATTTACGTACTTTCAAAGTCTCTGGTACTGTTGAAAGCGTACCCAGTACATGCCTCGAATGTTGGGCGAATTTTCACTTTCTGTTGACGCATGGTCCCGTCACCAAATAATTGATACTTTTTATAACGCATTTCCTTGCACGCGGATTCCATCATAACACCCCCTGTTTCTCCATCGCTACAGACAAATAAGTGTAATTTGCCGCTTATCCCTAGTAGTAGGCCATCAAGATAGTATTAGTAAATACTAGCTTATGGATTGCCTATAAGAAGTCTTCAATAATCAATTAATCACTGCGACAGGGCTCGCCTACACGTGTTAACTCATATAGATAGGATATTTCGGATTTACACCTGTAGCGCTGATACTCGATGACTGTTCCCGAGGCACCTATCGGCGACATAGAGCCTGCTCCGCAAGGTATGTATCACATATGTTTTGCTCGCTCTCGGCATTGTATTAATGTTATTAATACCCAGTCAAAGACACTCTGTATTGCACTCAGTATCGCATTCAGCCCAGGTGGCAACTGTGATTATAAGTGTCAATATTCTTACTCCGGAAGGTGTCGATCGATGTCGATATGCGAGTAATTGGCACATATACATTACGTTTGTTCATTTCGTACAACATCGATATGAGGGGAGCGAATGTATATCACTCGCTACAAATATTCTTTAGCGGGCATTGATACCTTTTGGGGTCCTGTTCAACGTTAGATTGTATCAGTTCAAGAGCTTATACCCATCGGTGTACTATGGCTGCCTACTCGCAAACTATCAGGGTCTTTCTAGAGGCTTCCAGTTTAATCCGTTTTGTGTGCGTATTCCTGCGTTAGTATATGGTTTTGCGGGGAAATACAGCTGTGCATGCAATTTTGTGTCATTGTCAATGATTGCGAAAGAAAGCGTCGAGTTGACCGGGTGACCAAGCGTAGATATTTGAAATAGCATAAGAATCTTTGCCGGTTGTGTTTGATGGTGTTTTTAGGCAGACGCTCTTACTAATTGTCAGCGTAGTAGCTGGAGTCAACATGCGGCGGCTCACAAATATTGATTATGTCCAAGTGTATCATACTATGCGTATTAGTTACTATTCTCGTATCCAATCGAGCAGGCACACATATTTCTGTCGTAGACTATGCTGCTACTGCCGACAAAGGATCGGCTATTGGGTGTGCAGGGTCTGACACCAAACAAACAGCTGCAAGTAGCGTGAATGGTCAGGAGAGTAGCAGTTTAAAAGCTGACGGTTCTTCACCCATTGTAAACTCACCTTCACTCACGGAATCATTCCTAGTGGACAGTGGAGACGCTGATTTGGCTCTCGACTTTCAGAAGGGGGACGCCTCACTATTAGGAAGTGCAGTACTACCGGCCGTGCCAGATTTCACACCCTCTCTTACGCATATACGTACTCAACCCCCCGCTGCTGCAGTACCGACACAGCAAGCCAGTGAGCAGCAGCAGCAGCAACAACAACAACAGGCACTCACTCAACAGAATCAAGAGCCAGGGTTCAAGTCTAGTAGTGCAACTAGTGATGACAATAAGAAATCACAGTCGGATTCCGATCTTCAAGTACTGCCACCCCCACCCTCGGCACCGGTCCCCACACAATCACCATCGTTGTCTACACCGACTCTCATTCCCAATGCGATTGCCGAGAGCAAGACGCAACCAACACAGCAGCCTATAAATAATGACGGTTCACAACCGGCTACTAGACCTTTCGCACCCACATTGCATTCTCCTCATATGCAGGTGAATCCTTATATGCATCTCAATCATCCAGTCCCGTTTCCACATCACTCAAACGCTTCGGCAGCTTATATGTATGGACGTCCCGGCGTACTTAATGGTCCTGCTGTGCTCAACGGACCTCAGCAACCTTATCCGCTGCATCCTCTAATAGTACGGCAAGCAATTTCGCCACACATTCAACCACAACAAATTCAACCCATGGCTATGTACGCGCGGAATGGAGTGCCACCTCAACAAGGGCCTACTAGCGTAGGAGGTAGGGCAGATACAAACAACTCCCTCGTAGCGACGAATGCGAGCGCGGCTGCTGCGCCTCAGGCACTAGCTACACCGCCACAACCACCCAAGCAAGCGCTTATGCAGCAACCAGTGAAGTTGAGTGCTGGTGATATACAGACAGACGGGCGCGCGGTAAAAGGTGTCAAACGGAAGGAAGATAACACACCACAAGAGGAAGTTGCAGGCGCACTCGACCAGTCGTTAACCATTCCCAGCCGAGTAACGGTGAAAATCAACAAGAAACAGAAGACAGATAACGATGACAAACTAGCGACTCTGAGCTTACCCACGTCGCTCTCATCCACCTATGCCCAGTCAACGGAGATTGCACTGCAAAGTCCAGATAGAATGACGGCTTCCGACAAGGCCAATGTTCCTGCCAACAGTCTAACGGGGTACAGCCTTCCACAGTATGATATGTCGGCGATTGATGGGCTGCAATCGGGCGTGGTGGCATGTTCCAATGGCGACGATTCGAGTGTGGCTGAACGAGACGCAACTGATAGAAACGGAACGCATGGAACTGTGGTGAAAAGTGGCGAGGGTGCTAAGAGTGAGGGTACAGGGGAGAATCTGGATGAAGACACCGACGAGGCTGGGCGTATGGAGGATAGTTTGATCAATAATCACGCCAACAGGGACTCGTTCATGGCCATTTTGAGTAAAGTCGGCCTATCGCGAGAAGAGCTGCAGAAGGTATCTACCAAAAAACTGAATTTGCTATCGACACGACGGAATTTAACGCAATGGGAAGTGCTGGAGCTCAAGACGGATAGGCGTAGGGCGAAAAACAGAGCAGCGGCAGCCCTGTGCCGCATGAAAAAGAAACAGTTCTTAAACGATATGGAAGGTAATATGTCACAACTCAAGGGAGATAATCGAAGGCTGATGAGCGAGTTTTCACGGCTGACACAGGAGTACCGCGAACTGTGCAGGCACACGCGCAATCGTAAAGAGCACAACGGGAAGCTGTTTTCACGTGTTTGTGAGTTGAGGAGTAAGCTCAAGAGCTTCTGTGAGGGTCAAAGCCCAGACGTTTCAATGTGTATTGGGTTCAGTTTGGATGCACCGTCAGATAGCGCAGCTGGTAGCACAGCTGGTAGTACTGACACACCAGCAAACACGGATGCGAAACCGGACACACTACCACAGCCGCCAGCGAGTGCAAATGACAGTATACAGATGAGTGGTATGTGTCTGCCATCTCCGGGTCTTTCTGTTGCACTGCCAAATCCAGATGCATTGGCACTGCCGAGTACGGAGACGCGTACCGGCAATAGCGAAACGCTCACAGCCGGCGACAGTGATGGAGATTCTCTCAGGTTACCGAATCCCGAGTTTAGCATGTCCAGCACAAGCTTGACAGTCTGATCGCGCGAGCATGATATACATGTGCCTAGATAATAAAGTATATCGATATATCTTTCTGTTTATACAACTCATGTCACTGCATACTTTCTTCGAAAGATCTGATAGTGCGAGGTGCCGGTTGCACATTTCTGACGCGCGTTGCATATGGCCACTTCAGGGCTTCGCAAGTTATACGGCTTGCGGAGGAAAATCAGGTTGCTTGCTGATATCGTGACCGCTATTGGGTGAGACAACCTAGCTCCATACACACTAAGTTCGCGTGTACTGTCACAGATGCTTACTTATCTTCGTTCAACAGTACCTAATAGTTGTTACCGTCTACTGAAAAATTCAAGAAGCGTTGGAAATGATATCCGACGGGAACTGTACACTAGTAGGGATTCGTTTATTTAAATATATGCATTGCTGCCATCGGCACCGGATGGTGTCCGTCAGGTGTGTATTATCTCAATCCGTGGCCAGCTACCCAGTGAGTTGGAACCTTGCAAGTCCCTGCGCTGCACCGCATGCCTTGATTACTTGTTAACCATTTTGCTCGGCGGTACTGGTGTGCTGGTTGTTCTTGAGAACTGCCTATTGAATCGAAAAAGAATTTGAGATCTGGAGACCTTCCCCAAGCACACAGCTTGAACGGGCTGCTATTTCATTACTTTAAAAGACAGCGAGGGCGTCACAGGCCTTTCATGACCACATGTCTGCATCTGAAAACATTGCATAATAAATGGGTTGCCTAATATACCTACATACAGCTTCAAGTTCGGCTCTCTGAATATCAGAACGCGTAGGGATTTGTACGAGATATTTTCAAGTCCACTTTGTGGCCCAACTGGACACATATGTATTATTTGGGCTTCAAGTTTACACAGGGCTACTTGGCATTCAGATATCTACACTCGATAGTGATATGTATATTTCGCCATTTCTATGTCTATTTGAGCATACAGCAGCAATGAGGTACCCCGAGAAGTACAGTGCAACTGTTTTTGGGAAGCACAGAGATTTTGAAGGCTGATAAAGTGACACCTTTATGGCCTGTAAATGATAATGTACGCGGCCTTGCAGCTAAGAATCTTGGCATATCGTGTTTTCAAACAGTGCAACGAAGATTGGCAGCTCACAAAGTTCCATGTTCAGCACTGACGAATTTGCATGCATGAAATCAATTTATCTTGCATACGCTCACGGGGATGGATTGCATTATAGATACTCGATACATTGTTCAGCACTGACAAATTTGCATGCACGAAATCAATTTATCTTGCATACGCTCACGGGGATGGATTGCATTAGAGATACTCGATACATTGTTCAGCACTGACAAATTTGCATGCATGAAATCAATTTATCTTGTATACGCTCACGGGGATGGATTGCATTAGAGATACTCGATACATTGTTCAGCACTGACAAATTTGCATGCATGAAATCAATTTATCTTGCATACGCTCACGGGGATGGATTGCATTAGAGATACTCGATACATTAATCTCTGGCCTCAAGTTTGATCGGAACTCCGATGTGAGAAATCCCGTCCGCCCGAGTGCTATTTTCTGACCTGTCCATAAGTAGATACCCAATCTACTCAGAAGTGTTGACATAGTACAAATGTTCAGAGCAACCGACAGATAAAACCGATTTGAGCCTGACGATGAGCAAATGTACACCGATCAAAAGCATTCTTCCTTGCGTAAGAGCTGGGAAGGCACTTTGATTATGACTCGAGCAAGTTATTGCCGCATCCGCCGCTAACGGTCAAACCCGGCTAACTTTCCATGGCCTCTGTGTAATATGAACCTGAGCACGTCACATGCACAACCCAAAGTACAGCAAATGCATGGTGCCAAATCAAGTCATATACTAGATATATGGGCCGTCTAATCCTGGTCGGTATCGGCACTGCCAACCCACCTTTACAATATCGCACTCGTGCTACTGCATCAACAGTGCTACATGCGCAAAACTCGCCAACAGATCCGGAAATCGTCCGAACTGTTTCCTGTTCACCCTATGGCCGTACCTACACCATCGTACAGTGGACAGACCATGAATAAGCCTCTTGCCGGCGCTGTGCGTACCGCTTTTGGTCGCCTATGAACACCGGCGTTGGCTGATCCCGCATGTGACTTACCAATACCCGTACTAGTATTATCAATAGCGGGGCGAGAAGCACTCGTACTATCGCTCATAGCAGTATCGCTAGCAAACTCCGGTGTCAGTAGTTTCTCGAAGTCTTCCACCGACAAAGCACCCAGCCCCACATCCACAAGAGTGCCAACTAGCATTCTTACCATACGCATGAGGAAGTAGTCACATTCTACCGTAATGACCACTTTACGACACGGTCTACCGTTCTTCTGCATGGTATCTAGTCCAACCGCGCGTGGCCGCTCCAAGACAGCTTCGGCATCATACTCCGCAGACATGGGTGCCTGCATTGTATATATAGGATCTAGTTGTATATCGTACACGTCTATATCCAGTCTCGTGATATTGCGCACAGGACTTCGTGGGTCTCTCTCGGCGAGGATGGCGAAGTTGCGCATGTCGTGCGGACCCAGAACATGAGCACTAGCCGCTCGTAGCTTAGACATGTCTAGTCGTTTGTTGCTGGTGTTGCGATCGAGACACAATGCCCAGCAGTATCTGTCCAATGGGGTAGAAACGTGTGTACTCATGTTAGCATTTGTCGAAACGACAGGAAATGGCAGTAGAACACGCGTATGCATGGCGGCAATATGTGGAATATATGCGCCTCCAGACAGGAGAAGAGACAGCGCTGGCGTGTAAATTGCACGCAGTTAAGCAACATCACACGAAGAACTCACAAGGACCCACCACACACCTGTCCTCAAACGGCGACGCCGAGTCTTCCCGTATCACATAACGGTATCGCTTATTAGACACGGACAGGCGTGCGTGGAAGGTATCGGGTTTCTCCACCACATCAAATACACTCAACGACCCCTCCTGGATGCCAGGAATGGACCGTAGCGCCCGCAGGAGCAGAAAGGCAGCGTCTGGACTCGCACATAGTTCTTCTATCATCGCGCCCCTGCCCCAGTGTTTGCCTCCGGCCTCGTTTTTCGGTTTCTTTTTTTTGTTCATCGTTCCTACGGCATCGCTTCCGTGCGCATTCTTTGGGTCCGATGGTTGTTGTTGACCTTGTCGATGTTCATCATGGCTTGGCGAGTCTCGCCGGTCTGCAGTGATAACATCTTGATGGCTATAAGGCGCTTTCTGAGCATTCGACTCGTCATGCGCCACAGTCTGTGTTTCACCCTGTTCTGTGCTCTCCGAATTGACCGTTTCCACCACTTGTGATAGATCAAGAGCACATTCTCTCGCAGGTGGTTCATATACATTTAAATCGAAATGAAAAACCTGAGCGATGGCGTGCACGCCTGCATCAGTACGACCACTTCCGATGACACGTGTTGGCTCCCTCAGAAACTTCGTCAGACGGTTTGACAAAACCCCTTGTACGGTAACCAGGTTTTTCTCGGTCTGTGATTGCCAACCGGAGAAAGCCGTACCATCGTACGAGCACGTGCCTGGAGTGAGGGGAGAAACCGGATGTGAGGTACTATCAACTGAGCTACTGCGGTGCTTACACGCGATATTAACCCGGAGTTCCAGACGCTCTCCGTGTCTGTGATTTCGCCTGCTCAAGGCATCTAGAAGATATGTATGTTACATCGAGCTCGTACTTTATGATTATGACGACGTGGGGGCGCACTACTTTTCTTTCGATAGAGATAAGCAGAAAAAGATGGAAGCAAAATAGAGAAGACTCCACATGCACAATTGGCTAAATATATTGCTTGGTGCTACCACAGTATGAATTAGGTATTAAAAAAATCTTACACACACACACACACACACTTA